CTAGAAATGACATTTTAATAACTAACTGTACTGGCAGTGCATGTCTGAAGTCTAAAGGGAGTTCTTCAGAAACTATTTAGTAAAACTGCTGTGGTAATATTTCCAGCGCTGAGTCATTACAATACTAATGAGCCGCAGCTGTCTCCACTGTGAAATCTTTAGCCGATCTCTCACAATGACCCTGGGAAGGTCGCTCTGGCTGTTAGCCGTTTTTGCTGATAATTTACAGTAGGCTGTTTCTGTACCACATTATTCACGAAGGGGGCATTTCTGTGAGGCCTTTTCTCCGTCAGTGATGGAGAGTTGATGTCAGACAGCTGATGGAAGCTAAAGGCTGCGGACAGACTAATACAAAGCTCGTTTTATGCTTCGGCAAAAGTGATGCTTCATTTGAGTAGATGCTCTTTTTGAAAAAGCACATAACAAATTATTTGTTTCAAATGCATACTGATGCAAGGAGAAAATCAAGAAATCTAATAAGATTCTTTTCCCCTATGATTTGATTCCAATCTTAAAGCAATGAACAGACCTTTACTCAGTTCGCACACCCATGAAGTGCTTTTCATTTTCTTCACATGGTTAAATATAATAACCCTGGTTAGCTTTGACTGTGCTAATGCATTTTTTATTCAGATTCTTTGAAAAGGTGAACAGAGCTAGAAGACTGTTGTTTTGCTTAAGATAGGTATCTTAGTCTTACTGGAATTAAAATCGTGATGACCAAAAGAAAAATAAAACTGGGCAATGTTGGTATAGTTAGCTTGTTGTTTTTGTCTGTTTTCAAACCTATAGGAATGGAAAGATGCAGACGTTTCACATCTGTAAATTATGCACTCGTTCACATCTGTAAATTTCCTTCCTAAACCTGTTTGACCTGTTTGACTAAAGACTTTTATGAAAAATAATGCGAAACATTTGAGGAAATATGTGAGTGGACAGTTCATGCTATAATTCCTTCTTTGATTGTAAAACTAGTTCTGTAAGGTAGGTAACAATAAATATTAAATTTCTATAGTGTGATTTGCTGTCAGATTTAATGTGACACATAATCAGAGTTCTGATTAAACAATAATTAAAATAAGTAAACCATTAATACAGTTGTATATGCAGAGTTCCAGTGATGTCAGTGAAATAATTATTTAACTAGTTTTATACTTTTTATTGTTAATGATAATATTTATTGTTTGAATCACATCACAGACCTGTTAAGATGCTTTTTTTCTATAGAGGAGTAGAATAAAATTAACCTTCTCGACACCAAACATTTAAACAAGGTTATAAGACAAATTCCTTTCTTTGCGAAGATATTCAGTTATTATTTTGTGAAATTATAAAATGCTGCATACACACGTTTTTAAAACTTAATACTTTATTCAAAACCTGAATGATCAAACTGAGGCCTTTCAAGTATAAGAAACAATACAGTAAATGTAAACAAAAACTAAAGAGAAAAACCTGAAATGTTGATTGCATGAATAGTCAGACCCATTAACTCAACATAAGAAATGCATTACATAATGTAATTTGTCTTATACATTTTTTATACACAAGGAGAGTATATTGTACAAACTCCACCCAGACAGAAAGCACTCCAAGTCTGAAACTGGGCCCAGGGCTCCAGTTCTAAGAAGCAGTAATGCAAACCACTGAGTCATGCCCTTCTGTGAATATACTATATATCATATATGTTATAATAAGTAAAATATTGTTATCATGTTCATGATAATTCAGGTCCTTTGCTAGCTAATGAAGCCTTTCATTCTACAAGTTTCTTTTTAAACCACAGATATTGCAAAGGCTGTGCTGTGTGAAACTAATTTTCAAAACATTTTGTTCTTATTTTCAAGACTGAAGACCAGTCAAAGAGAAGCATCTCAAATATCCAAGAGACAGGGCCAGTACCAGATGGGAAAGAAACTGATGGACCCCATCAGAACCAGCAGTAACCAGGCAGGCTTGGTCATAAGGGTGCTGAAAAAAATGTGAGTGAAGCCCTACTCCAACCCTCTGATGACCTAGTCATCTTTGTAATTTTAGCTGAATTTTCCAGCTTTCAGGCAGTTTGAAACTAACAACAGAATTTTACTTCCTATACCATTCATTACATATTGAATTTCCCTAATGTAATACAATGAGGTACATGTCAAAATAAACTATAATAGAAAAAAGCCTTCAGATTTCTAAATAGTAAAAATACCTGTGCTTGAGAACTGAAATCACAGCTTGTAAGACTACAATGATTGACTCTGGCAGACCTAGAGAAATGTTCCTGCTTTTTGTGATCTTATCCTTTGTTCAGCTGTAAGCACAAGGCCAGAAGGATATCTTGAGGAGTGGAGATAAGGGTCTGTTTAGATCAACAGCATTACCTGACTGCAAAGTAGTGAAGACTGGATGCATGAGGCTTGAGCCAGTTACAATTCATGACACTACAGTATATTCATGTACCTTGATTGAAGGCCTTGTAAGGGAGAAAAAAGCCAAAGGTTGTAAAACATTACAGACTAAGTATTTAAGCATCTGCTTTAAGCTATAAAGAGATATTAACAGTTACAGGAACAGTCAGGGAATCTGGTGGCAAGGGGTTGTGAATTGTATTAGAATTAATGGGTCCATGGACTTTTATTCCAGAAAGACATCAGAAGCCAAGATGGTCCTAAAATTATAACCACACCTTCAATCTCCATGACAGACTAATTTCTATTTAAAACCTCTCCACCCACTTACAGATGTCAGCAATACCTGCCGTCCTACAGATCCAGCCATTCAAAAGGCGGAAAGTACGCTGTGTCAAAACTTGGTAGGCATGGCGCATCATTCCGCAGTTATGATAATACTATCCGGAAGCACCTTGTAAAACCACCCGGTGAAGCTAATAAAGCTTAACCTCTCATGTACAGCATTTGAGCTGTCACCAGAAAATGCCCAGTTTCAAATCCTGGTCACTGCTGAGGGACAATGTTTTTCCAATTAAGAATCTGAGTTGTATACTCTTGAGATTTTTAATAATTTTAAACTGTGTATCACAGCATGTTAATCATTAAACATGAAAAAGTCGGTATATCCTATCTA